ACCGGTGTTTTGTTTTGCTCTCTCCTCTTCGCTTCCGCGTTCGTCACTTCTCACCGGAGCTTATGCTACACCTACGTCTACGTCATCCGCTGGAATGCCACTCTCTAGTGAACGCGCGTACGACAGTTTGCGGAAGCTAGAGATTACCGTTTATAAAGTTTTAAATATGGATATTTTTCTTACAAAATGCATAGCTTTGCTTCAGAAGGCCTTTATTAACCCGCCGGAGCCGTGTGAAGCACTATTTAATATGGATGGATGCACTTTTTTGGGCTTCAAAATCTCAACCACTATTCATTGCCATTATAAAGCTTGAAAGAGCCAGGACATTTTTTAATATAACTCAGATTGCATTCGTCTGAAAAAAGAAAGTCATATACACCTAGGATGGCTTGAGGGTGAGTAAATCATGGGGAAATTTTCATTTTTGGATGAACAATCCCTTTAATGCCTTATTCTGCATGACCATATCTTAGATCCCTTAAACCAGGGGTCACCACACTCGGTCCTGGAGGGCCGCTGTCCTGCAGAGTTTAGCTCCAACTTGCCTCAACACGCCTGCCTTAAAGTTTCAAGTATACAAAGTAAGAGCTTGATTAGCTGGGTCAGGTGTGTTTGATTAGGGTTGGAGCTAAACTCTGCAGGACACTCTGCAGGATACAGCCTAATTTGACTGGTTTATCCTGAAGAAAAATAAATTGTGGTTTTTGTAGTTTATTTCTATTGGGAAAATAAAGTAATTTCCATTAGATTTAGGTATTTTTTAGACAAAAAAAATATATATATTTTTTGGCATATTAAATAAACCAGACTTTTTCCCCCTTCCAACCAAAAGAAAAAAAAATGCTAAAAGAACACTGCAGGGGATCCAAGCAATTCAGCTTCAAGATGATAAGAGATGCCTGTAATCACTTATCTAATCGTGCATGCCTGCAGCAGACCTTATTTTTGCTCATTGAACAACCAGTAAAATAAATAAGCAAGATAATTCATTAATTTATGTGAACACTGCAGACCTTGTGAAATATTATTACAACTTAAAACAACTGTTTTCTATTTTAACACATTTTAAAATGTAATTTATTCCCGTGATGGCAAAGCTGAATTTTCAGAAGCCATTACTCCAGTTTCAGTGTCACATGATCCTTCAAAAATCTTTCTAAATCAATGTTGAAAACAGTTGTGCTGCTTAACACTTTTGTGGAAATGGTTATACTATTTTTCAGGACTCATTGAAGAAGAGAAAGTTCAAAAGAACAGCATTTATTTGAATTAAAAATGTTTTGTAATATTACATGTATGTATGTATGTATGTATGTATATATATATATATATATATATATATATATATACACACACATACAGTATATATACACAGGTACATCTCAAAAAATTAGAATATCATGAAAAAGGTCAATATTTTTTGTCACTCATTTCAGAAAGTGAGTG